GGGACCAAATGTAGCTAAAACTCTTTTTTGCCTTTGAGACTCTGCTAACACGGCAATATTGCTTCCCAGGACCAGGGTTAGGATCTCGGCCATTCCCCACAGCATTATCATGGCAAGAGAGAGATTCCTGGGCCATGCAGTTTGGTCCCAAAGTCCCCAAGTCTTGGGCCCCAAAGACTTTTCCTGAAGCCAGACCTATTTTCTCTTTCCAGCTTTGCCTCTGATCTATTACTAGACCATAGATGAGTCACTCAAACCTTGAGGCCTTTCATACGCTGTCTATTCTGTTTGGTCTAGATCCACTACAGGTTGCTAGATCTACCAAACATTACATTGCAATTGGAAGCCAATATCTGGGCTCCTGTAATAAAAATTACGGGAAAGGAGCTATTCTTCACCATGGGTTTGTACGGTGCCTCATGCCAGGGAGTGCTGATCTATTACAGATAATAAATAGTCAACAAATTGCTTATCTTTCTACCAATTCTGATTCAGAGGAAGATAATATCATTCACCCGCAGAAACCTTCATCGGCTAGGAGCCTTTCAGTGCACATTTTCTGTATTAATATCAAGCAGGATTTAGTCTATTAAATTTAAGTGGTACATGGTGTACGTGTTCAGTACTGCCAACACTGTTTTTCAGTAGACATGCTGTGCATATTAGTTTTAGGCATCGGTATCAATATAACATTCGAGGATTTTGAGTTACTTAGTCTCTCGGAATGAAAATTTGTCCTTATTTTTTTAAAAATATATAACTATAAATAACTTGCATCAAAGCCTAATTGTACTATATTCTAATGAAGCCTTTGTAATTTAAATTATAGTACTGAAATATTTCTGTTGCTAAAGTTTCAAAGAAAGTAGGAACATCCAACAATGGAAAATTATTAACTAATTACCTGAAGTGAGCACTGAAAGGATAAAACAGCCTTTTGGAGCTTAGCTCCTTTTGCAGGTGCAGAGATAATCTTTTCTGGTTAGAACAGTTCATTTCAAAGCAAGAAAAACAGGTATGACAGCTGGATAAAAAGCATGTTCTCCTCTTCCTATCTGTGATTATAAAACTGTTAGAGGAGGCTAAGACATTACCTAAATCTTGAAGGATCTAAGGTACTATACAAAACGAGTAGGAGCATATTCCGGGTACTGAAGTGCCACATTTTAGGGGATTCTAAGATAGGAATATCACATTTGTTTGCAGTCAGTGTTTTTCTAATATATATGCCTGGCTTCTGGTTGAGCACTGGTTTGCATCTGTCACATGCAGAGGTGCAGAAGTCTGTCTGCAGGCACCTGCAGCAGCGCTGGGAGAAATGTCCCACTGTGCATTGACAGAACTGCCTCTGCTCTCAGAGCTGAACCTCTGCAGAAGCTTTCTGTGTCTAAGGCTGTTTTGGTTTCAGAGACCGCATGAGTACACTTGAGCTGCATTAGGAGACTGACCTCTCTCCCTGCTCACAGTAGGAGAATGTTGGTGCTTCATTCTACATCCGGCTTCCCAAAAACTAGTTCTTGTTGTGTATCAGGGCAGTGGTGACCAGAAGCAGTCTCTACACTTTTCCTAGCCATAGGGAAGTCCCGATTCTTTCTTTCTGAATAAACCAATTATTTTTTAGTATACGGTTTGATAAAGATTGTTTGCAATGTCTTGAACAGATTGAAAGTACTTGTGTTGAACTAAGTTTTCAAATACTGCTTTTCTTCACTTTGAGTTTGTCTAAATTTTGCTTGATGCGATTATAAAGCCAAATTACGAGGCATGCCATTCATAGTTCTCTATGATAACTTCTTACAAAAGAATCTGAGTAGATCCATGTTTAATAAATACATTAAAAGATGTACACGTCTATTCTGTGCACAAAAACCATGTTTGATCCATTTAAAGGACACCTTAACTGCAAATCTTTGTGTTTATGGTTAAAGAGCAAGAATGAATAAATAAATCAACATTTTTTTTGTCTCCAGGAGGCAGGAGTGCCCATGTATGAAATAGGTCCCTTTTGTTTGTGATAGTGGATAAGGAATAAAAATAAGTTGTTTTTCTTTGATTTCTCAACTGCAAAGTGGGGGCTTCATATTTTTATCTCACATGCGTGCTCAGATGTGATGCAACATCTTCCAAGTATGCAACACTACTAAGACCCTAGTTCTGACTGTATTATTTCTTCTAGATATTTATTTGTAAATATGTGTAAACTTCTTCGATCATTATCAGCCATATGAGGCAGTTTAGGTAGTTGCATGTCTCAGCTTCGATTCTGTGTGAGCTTTTAAAACATAACAATGAAATTAAAACAGTGATAAACCCTGCTCACAAAACCATTCAATACCTCTCTTATGTGGTAGCCTTGGACAAAAATGTGACAGATAATAACCAAACAAAAGTATTTATTTGGTACTTTCACAAAATATTTGTGGAGGTCTGAAAAGACTTCGTGTTCCACAGCCAGCTAGCTATCCTTCTATCCTAAGATGACTAAGAGAGAGCAATTGCTGTTTGTAGGGGTTTTTTTAGTGTTGTAAGATTCATATGTACTGACCATATTCTGGATTTTTTTGTTGCACAGAGGATGTACTCTTATGGTACAGCAACAGGTGCTGGAGCATTTGCAGTTGTTTTAATGCTGGCAAAGTATTTTACTAAGATCCTGTGCTAAAAACTTTTCCAAACATCTGCTTTTTCTGCTTGTTTCCCTGCACATTAGTTGCAGTACTTTTTGACTTAAATATTTTGCTGTTTAAAAAAAATACTTTTTTTTTTGTTGTTGTTCTATGGGAGCTATTTCGAAAGCAAAGGGGACCATTGGAGTTCGTTGTCTTATCTCTCGTTACTGAAGGTCATGAAATTTAATCCAATACTTGCAAATCCCTGGGTGACAAGTCACTGTGCACTAGGCATGGAACAAGAGAATTCAGAGGTCAGGGCAGATCAATTTATGTCACAAATAAGTAGGTAAGAAATGACTGGACTATCTTAGTATAGATGTATGAATGGGCTGCAAAGAAAGGGGTATGTTTCCCAAGATGTGTAGCTATCTCTGCTGAGGGGAAGAACATTCAGTTCCACCTTGGTCCCAGGGTGCTGAGTTTGACCCCAGCACATGGGCAAAATGTGCCACTCAGCGTTCAGTTCTCTTTGTCCATGTCCTAGCCCATGGCCCACATTCCAGCCCATGCTAGCCACAGGTTCACCTCGGAGCAGCCTTTCCTTTTGTTTTCTGCTTCACCTCTGTGGAATCCGCCCGCAAGCAACCCTCTTAACCCGTGCAATGCTCTTGCAGGCCAATCTGCCCCTGCTGCAGCGGGAGCTGCTGCACTGTGCAAGGCTAGCCAAGCAGAACCCAGCCCAGTACCTCGCCCAGCACGAACAGCTGCTTCTGGATGCCAGCACCACCTCACCTGTTGACTCCTCAGAGCTGCTTCTCGATGTGAACGAAAACGGGAAGAGGCGAACTCCAGACAGGTGAGCACCGCCGTGCACTTTCCACCCTCCCGCTAAGAAATTTCCCTTGTCGAAAGGGACAAGCCCTGCTAGGAAGGGGAGAGTGTGTGGGTGGGTACCTGGGGGGAACTGGGCTGGTGTTCCCTGGGTGCGAGTCCTGCTGTCATTACAGCTGTGCAGCAGCCAGATTAACTTTGTGTATGTGTGCGTGGAGTTGTAGAATAGTTTGGGTTGGAAGGGACCTTTAAAGGTCATCTAATCCAACCCTCCTGCAGTGGGCACGGACACCTTCGACTAGATCAGGTTGCCCAGAGCCCTGTCCAACCTGACCTTGAATGTTTCCAGGGGTGGGACACCTGCCACCTCTCTGGGCAACATGTTCCAGCGTTTCAACACTCTTAATGTAAAAAATTTCTTCCTTGTATCTAGTTTAAGTCTACCCTCTCTCTATTTAACACCATTACCTCTCGCCCTACAGCAACAGGCGTTTCTTATGCTTGTGTACATACATCTACCTATACCTGTGCAGATGTATCTCTGTGTATATAAGTATTATATATGCATACAGTGATTCAGGCAGCAGAATCACCTGTGGACATGCTCTGGTCATATCCATGTAGAAGTAATACTGGCCAGCCAGTACTCTTACTGTTTGGTGCATAGTGTTTCTGTGCAGCATGAAGTGATGAGCAACGGATCACTCCAGTTGTGTGTATGTAAGTCCTTTGTATTTGAGGTTTTTTTGAACCAAATTACTGGGGAAGTGTCTAGGCATTCATACTGGGACATACAAGGCAAGCTCCAGAGTGCAGTCAGGGTTTTGGCTTCTTCGACTGCGCCATGTTTCCATATCCTGAATTTGTAAGGATATTTCTTCCACACAGGAGAAATGTTCACTGAAATCTGTTTTGTTGTATGAATTGAGAAAGAGTGCATGCAAAAACAGGGTGATCGAGTGCATGTGTGTGAAGTACAGTAGCTTTAGGGATGTGGAACAATTTTTTCTTACTTGAGTAAAGTTCTTTGTGTAGTTTTAGAAGAAGATGAGGTTGTTTAACTGTCTTCTCACGACAGTATTAGAAATTTACCTAGCATATCCATTTTATCTTTGGAAGGCTCAAATATTGGATTTTTCTCTATTTTTTTTTTTTACCATGAATTTTATGGTGTGGAGAACTTACAGTGCTCTTCTTCCAGATGCCACTACCTGCATGGCCAAGACATGGCAAGTGTCCTAGTTATGAAAAAATGAAAAAAGTGAAGATTTGCAAATTCAAGAAGGCTCTCAAGTTTGTAGGGGTGACATTTTTGTATAGGGACAGGCTGAGATAGAACAAAAACAAAGAGAAATCAAAGTCTGAAAGCTCATAATAAAACTTTAAGCTCCTCATAGAAGTGAATAGTAAAAATTAAAGTAACATGGCCATTATATTGACAAAAATGTGAAAGTATTTGAAATTAGCTTGCTTTAGATTGTGTTTCAGGCAAATTGTTATGGACCAGCAAGAAAATTGCCAGCAGAGAAGTTCTCTTCACCATTTTTCTTTGACAGCTAGACTGAACAGAAAGAGCCATCAGTGTTAACAAAATCCTGGTAACTGCATCCAAGTGAGATTATTCATTTTGACACATTTCCCATGTAATCTCTTACTCTGTGCAAAGAGGGGACATTTCCAAAGCTGAAATTTAGCTTCCTACTGCAGTTCTGCTGCATATCCTCAGTCTTTGCAGAGTAGTGTATCAAAATGTCTATTAAAAAGGCCTCTTGTGCATCTTGTGAATAACAAATACTAGCATGCTGTGGTCCAGTGTCTGTAGCAGACACAGCGTTTCTCCTACAGGTAGATAGACACAAGTTATCTCACAGGCCTGTGAGGTCTTGCTTGACAGACAATACAGAGAAGAGGGATGTCCGTTCCTGACAGCTCCAACTCACTTTTTCTTCTGTTAATAGAAAACAATATTATTCACTCCTCCTATAATAACATATTTCCTTTGTTTTTCTCCGTTAGTGTTCTGGAATAATACTCTTTGAGACACAGTTTCACAGTGTTGAATTTCAGTTATTTTGCAAGAAGTACAGTCTCACCCCTGGTACCTTCAGTCCTGGTTGCATGGGAGGGGATGGGTTGTGCAGGTAATAACCAGCACAAAACTTAATAATAAAAAGACCTCATATTAGTCTCGGAGCAAAAAGGACACAGTAGTCCATAAGGGAACCAGGAGATCAGAAGAATATTAGATTTTGAAGTCAGCCTTCATCTTCTAATTAAAACTGAGACTCAGATCTAGAAAGGCTGATTTATGGGTTTTGTTCTGGGTATTTCTTTTTAGTTAAAATATGTAGGTGCTCTTATGCCTTTGGCTTCAGAACTGAAGTCTCTCTTGGGTTCTGTTCAACTCAGGCAGTCTTCAGTTCCTCTCCAGGTAGTGATGCAGCTTTTGAGGTAGACAGTTCCAGTGTGGTGGGCAAGACCCTGTGTTTGAATTCCCAGGCTCCAGGGAGAGGCTGTAATGTGGGGTGTCCCACTGATCTCCGTGCTCCAATCGACAGTCAGACTCTGTCAGTCGCTGTAAGAAATTACACTTCTTAGTTCTGAGGAAGTGGCGTTTCAGAAAAAAAAAATATAATTTCTCTTTCCTGAGATTTTTGCTGTCATGAAAGACCTGGAAAGAGAATGCCCAGCTCTCCTGTTGCAATGGTGCCTTGAGCTTAAAAAATAAGTTGTTTTTCGCAATATCAAACAGCCCTGTCACTGGTTAGTCACACTTACTTCTTTCTCTGTTGACTATGGTTAAAACTATACAGAGAAAAAAAACCAACACAAACTCATACAGTAGTTTTGGCTGAACCAAGTTCAGTGGAGTTGTCTCATACATTCAAGAACATTTGTACTGCAGATTTAGTAAAAAGAACAAGATCCTGTTGGAAAGATTCTTTACTGAATGAGAGTTTGCATACCTTTTGATTTGGATAATGTAAGTAAATCAACCACAAAAAACTAACCTCAGAGTCAGAGCATGCCTAGACTGAATGACTATTGAAACCAACTATTCATCTGGCATTATACTCATTACACTATTAATTATTTTAATTTTTCACAGAGGAGCAGGAGGAAACATCTGGAAATACAGATACCTTTTGTTTATATATTTAAGTAGTTTTCAAATATACTAATATAAACACAGCAGAAGAGTTGAGGCATCCTTTAAGAGAAGAGTTTGCTATGACTCTCTTGCTAGAATATGGAAAAAAATGACTAAAAGGCAATATTTCTAGGGGAAATAAATACAGTTGAAGTATTTTTGTTTGCAATATGCCTCTCACTAAAGTAAGAGATATGTTTTCAGATATGCATCTCACTAAAGTAAGTTGTAGTATCTTTTTACTTCCAATAGGATATGATATGTATATAGAAGTCATGCGAAATGTGTATTTTTATATATATATTTATGCTATATAGAGATACTATGTGTATATACGATAGCCACACATGTGTGTTAGAAATAGATACACACATTCTTTCATATTTACATTTTTTCTTTTTGGGCACAGGTAACTGCATACCATTGATTCCAGTAGACATAAAATATGGGAACAGATTAGTAAAGGAAGTGGAATGTGTCTTGCACGTAACCACATTCACCTCGTGATTTGTTGCTAAAGAAAATCCACATACAGTAATTTTTTCTGCTTATAATTTGAGAACGTTTTTTGCATATGCATTTTCCAATTCTGGTTATTTATCTGCATATCCAAGTCTACTGTACGTGAGGTTTTATAGAGCAATCTGACAGCAGAGCTTCGTGTTTTACTGAATGTTTTCTTGGTGCATATGGTCTGACACGGATGAGCAGCCACGGTGAGATTTTGGAGTCTATTAAACTAGCTCATTAAAAAGATCAATCTGTTTCTGTAATAACACTGGGAACCATCAGTCACTGCAAGAGAGAAAAGCTGACACCTGAGGAGACAACACATTTTGGTAATTTGTTCGTGACATGTCATGAACAAAGTGTTCACTATATTTTGTTTACAACTTTTGGAGTTTACATTCTACTGTAGCAAAGCAAAGGAACTTGGACCAATGTGAGTTTTTATTTTGGTGAATGAATGCTTAGTTATAAATAACATGGATTTAAATTACATTAACCACAAAAGAATTTTTGTTAATTAGTCATCCTTTGAGCTTATTGGGATGGGCTGTATGGCACATGAGCATGTCATATATTGACTCTACATTTATGAGAGCTGCCTACAAAGTGGATATAGGATAGCAAAAATATCTGTTAGGATAGCTTTAATTTTGAGTGAGCAGAAAACAAAAGTGGCCATAAATGTTTTGTGACTCTAAAAAGTGCTGCTGTGTTTGCTGTGCCCTTGGCACCCCTGACAAGGAATTCATGTCAAAGGTACCTGGGCACAGAGACCAACTTTGATAATTCTGTTAGCATAGTCATTTTTGAAGACTCTCCTCCACATCTCAGTAAGGTACAGGATGCTCACAGCTCTTACAGCTATGCTTCTTGCAAGCCATGTGTAATTATATGAATTTTTAAAAGAATTTTCATTATATGAACTGTCAGCAAGGCAACATTAATCTTTTCTGTAATGCGATATTGTAAACAAAGTATTTTATTCCAGCAAAGCATTATCACTTGTTTGGTCATCAAGACTTTAATGGTGGATGTCCAATTTAAATCAAAGCACATTGCACAAGTAGCAGATGAGTGGCTTTGCTTCCTTCTTGCAAGCTGACTTTTGTGTTCTCTGAAATCGGTGCAGTACCCTTGATCAGGTGAAATTTTTCCTGCCAAGGCAGATTTGCATGGCCAGATTTCCTATCCAGGAAGTTATTAATAAATTGCAATAATGTAAAACTGAAATAATAGAATCACAGAATCATAGAATCATATCAGCTGGAAGAGACCTAGAAGATCATCGAGTCTAGCTTTGTCCCAGCCCTGTCAACCTACTAAACGATTCCCCCCAACACAACATTCATCCGTCTCTTACGAACAACATCAAGTCTGTTAAAATAAATATAGACTAATGACTAGTATCTATTCTGCTATCTTTAACCTGAGTAAATCATGACTCCAAGTAAAATGACCCCTTGCATGTTTGTAGCTGAAGAACCCCACATTTATCATATTGCTGATTTTCAAAAAAAAAAAAAAAGTGTCAATTTATGTGTGCATCACAGAAAATGTGATCAACAGGAGTAAGAAAAAGGAAAACAAGAAAATGTATCAGGTTTCCTACACATTCAGTGTTGTCCTCTCTACAGCTTGTTGCTTTGCAAAATTAAATGGATCAGGTGAAAATCAGATGAAAATTGTGGTGGTTTTGGATTCGGAACTAGTACTCACATGGGTCTGCCAATTACTGTAGAGCAAGAGTGCTCCTCCCACACCTGGGGAAATGCTGCTGTCCCAAAGGAGTGAGACTTGGAAGAGTGAGTAGGACTGAGATCAGAAGCAGAACCAGTAGGTTGGGTTCACGGCATCTGAGCTACGGCACTCTTCAGTACTTTGTCTTTTATCACTATACTCAGTATATTCAGATACATTAAATTTGACAGTGATTCCTATTTGATGAAATTTTGAAAGCTGTTGTTACCTATTTATATGTTACGTACAGCCTCATTCTGGTATTCTGCGAAATTGTTTATTTGGTCAATGCAGAAAATATAACAACAAATTGTAGAAGTAAGGTTTTAACACCCAGAAAAGACCTGACAGCTGTTACCAAGCGTAATAGTAAAAATAGGAATTTCATTTCAGTAAGTGTGTTTTCAATGGTAATGTTAATTTCTATGTTAGTTGAACTCAGGGTTCTGCAAGAAAATCAATATGCTGGTGTGTCGTCTAAACTAATGCTGTGCATTCCACTTAAGGTAATTAAGTACAAAGCATTCCTAAAGTAGCACAGAAGTACCTGTACAGTAAGGTGCAAATATGTACATGCGAATGAAAATGTGTGAAATTAATATCTGAAAAGGAAAACTGGACTTATGTTTGTCACAGTTTTCTGGTTTGTTTCACCTACACTAAGTAGGATCAAAAAAAAAAATGAAGTTTTTAATTATTTAGAGTTTCTGATTTTTTCCCCCATGTTATTAGAGGTCATTCTAACTGTAACAGTAAAGAACTTTGGCAAATGAATAGTTTGTCTTAGGAAAGTCCATTTTTTTGCCTGCATAGTATTTTTACAACTGAAAGACCTGGACATAGAGTTTGCAAAGATATGTGCAAAGAAAACACCCACCAGCAACTGAATACAAAGCTTGTCTTGGAAAGCTGACAAAAACACCACTGCCTATTGGGAGTTATTGCAAGCAGTTCCATCGTCATTAAAAATATGTGATGGTCCCCAGGTTTTCCTGATTAGGAGTTTTCACAGCAATTCTGTGTTTGCTTTGGAGTAAGGTACTTTATTAAAGCATCTCTGCCTAAAATTAGAACAGCTGTTCTGTGGTACTGGTGAAATATTATCCCCTTTTTGCCAAATTAAGGTAAAATAAAGTATATATACCTGCAGCTTCTCTGACATAAGCAATTGTGGTGAGGTCCCTGGAAAATCTCTTTGCTCATTCTGAAAACAGTGCAACCCATCTTTTAATTTCCTGCTGGTAATTGCAAGATCTTACTTTGATCCTCTCTCCCAGTGGATATTGGCAAAGATTTGGTTTCATCTTTCCTCTCATTGATATTAAAGGAGAACCTACTGAGGTGCAACAATTAATACGTTGAGTGTTTCTCCACAGGCAGTCCCTTGAGGCTGGTTGGTTTGTAGGGTCTGCTGAAGGACAGTTGGTTTTAACAGCAGGCAAACAAGGAAGTTAGATCAAATTTACCTTCATGTCAAAGTGAGAAAAAAATGCGTTATTGCTGGGAAGATATATTATGCCATCTGTAAATCATGGAGGAGAAAGTTCTCTTTAAGAAAGGCTGGAATATATCAGCTGTCCGATAAAGAATTTTGGAGAAAGGGAGGCAACCTCAACAGTTTGCAATATTTATATCTAAGAATCTTTCAGTTCAAAGCTTATATTTTGTAAGCTGTGTTTATTTTGGTGGTAAAACCCTCCATACTTTGGTTAAACAAAGCCTCCCTAAAGTTGTGAAGCAATTGAAGTAACTCTAACCCTTCTTTTTTTTTTATTTGAATGGAAAATGAGTTCAGTGTTTGAGGTTCTCAGGCAGAGGTGCAAAGCAGAGACTTCTTTGGAAATAGCATATTATTAATTGAATTAATAAGTATCTATAATGTAAAAAACCCCATCCTTTTCCCCTATAACTCTTCAATGTTGCCTGAACATAAAACCCCTCTCTAAGAATAATGGAGTGGGAAGTCTTGAATGTTATTGAGGACTTGAGTCTATGTACATCTTCCTGCAAAATTAATGACAGTCACAGCACCTTAGACTGAAATAGTCCAGACGATGCAAAAATCTTTGAAGGAAGCAGTTCTCACCATCTAGAGTCATTCTTGCCCAAATTCTTGGTGTGACACTGAGCTTGATGGAAGCTCATCCTGGCGTTATGTATAGTCTAGCTTCAGCACAGACATGTGCTACCTTAAAACTGAATTCACTCTTTTCGAAAAAACAATTTCCCCTAATCACTGTCTAGTACAGCGCTACTGAAAGTAGGAATTTCTCAGCTTCTTGCTTCATGTATTGGTTGATTGTTTCAGCTCTGCAATTACATGTGCATCCATCCCATCAGCTGGTGATTTCGCCAAAGGCTGCTCACTCTCCAGCCCAGCTCTTCAAGTAGCTCCATCAGAAGGCTCACCCTGCTAGTATTTCTCAATTTACGCAGATAGTTAGACAAATTGAATGTGTCCTTTGTACATTTTGAAAGAATGGTGTTGTGAAATGTTCTGCAGCATCACACACTTGCAGCAAAGTGAAAGAACAAGCTTTTATTCCTGAAGCTGCATGTGTGGGTGGGGGAGCATGTTCCTGAGCAGCTCTGCTCACTGAGTGAATTAAAGTCCCTTTGCTTTGTTTTTCAGAACCAAAGAAAATGGCTTTGACAGAGAGCCTTTGCACTCAGAGCATCCAAGCAAGCGGCCCTGCACTATTAGCCCAGGCCAGCGGTACAGTCCAAATAATGGCTTATCTTATCAGCCCAATGGTCTGCCTCATCCCACCCCACCTCCACCTCAGCATTATCGTTTGGATGATATGGCCATTGCCCACCACTACAGGGACTCATACAGACACCCCAATCACAGGGACCTCAGGGACAGAAACAGACCTATGGGTAAGGCATGTTGATTTCCTGCACTGTTTTCTTTTTTAGATTTCTCTCTTCCTCGTAATTATGTTCTGTATTGGGAACGGTTTGGGGTTGTTTGCTAATTGGATATACCTGCCATTCAGGTATAGTTGTTATAGCTGTTTGTCCATCTAGCTGATTCTAATGTCCTTACTTGAGATTTATATTTGCAAAACTGGTTTGAATTGTGTCTTTGCTGTGCTCTAAGGCAAGAGAGTCATAAAGTGGAAGAACTTGTGCTCTTAGATCTGTGTAGATGACATGTTTATTTTTCTTCTGATGCCACGTTTGTGATGATAGCAACATCACAGCTTGATTTCAGCTTAGACTAGAGGAAAAAAATGTTTTGCATGTGACATCTCAAGAGTGCGGTGCAGCATGGGGATGTCTGCAGAGGATGCAAGCACCAGAAGCACCAACCACACCCCAGTTTAGTTTAATGGGATGTCTGATGCTCTTGGATTGGCCTAGCTTGCTTCACATCTGCACTTACTATTCTTCCTTGTTTTAAACAAATCTTCAATAAAAGAGGAGCATTTACAAATATTCAGCATCTGTACAGAGGAGGCTAAACAAAGAGCAAGTGTCGGTTCCTCTGGAGTGTTGATAATAAATACTGGCTTGACTGTATCATGTCAGCTGCTCTGATATATGTGCTGCATTTTAACCACATGTTGTTTAAACATCTGTGAGGGGATGAACCCTTGATGATGCTCTGTTGACATGGTAGTAATTACTGCATTTAGTGAAATAACGTTGAGTTTATACTAATATTTTTTCAAGTCTCTGGAATACAGCTAGTATTTGATACACTGAGTTACCAAATAATTGTCTTGCTGACTTATTCAAATAGCGCAATTGAAAAATTACATTTTGTACTATATGTTACATATATTATAATTGTACATAGTCAGAAAGGCTTATGTCCATTTTTGAGAGGTCGTCTTGCAACCTACAGAATTTGCAGAATTGTAGACATTAAGCTGAATAAAACTGTAGCATGTTGTGTGGAGAAAAGTGCTAAAGAGGGTGCTAAAGCAGTTAAGCATCTATTTACTTTAATGGTGACACCTCTGATACTAGTCCAGGTAATGTATGATCTGTTTGTCTGTTAGGCTTTTTTTTTGCTTTTTTGTTTCCTCCCTAGAGGACTCCCAGCACTGTAAACATGATTTGCTCCTTTATGGCAGGGTTGCATGGCACACGTCAAGAAGAAATGATTGATCACAGGCTAACAGACAGAGAATGGGCAGAAGAGTGGAAACACCTTGACCATGTAAGGGCTAAGTGTACTTTTATGTATAATTCTCTAATATTTTGTCTAATAATTCCTTCAAAGATAGGAATTAAAATATTTTCTTTTAAGAAGAATCTGAATACCGGAAGTTTTCAAAGAGTTAGTGGATAAAACAGGGCTGGATGTTCACTGCTGGGCACATCATACCAGGCCTTGTTGTTAAGTGCCTCCTGCAGTATCCTAATTATTACAGGCTGCTAAAAAGGGAATGGACTCTGCTCTATAAACCCTGGATCTGCGACACGTTGCATCAGTTTTTCAGTTTATTAGCTCTTGTAACATTTGTAGGCATCAGTTCTGGACCAGGTCTCCTGGCTTCTGTGGTGCCATGTGACACACTACTGGTGAGACTACCCGTCTGTTTAGTCTTGTTGCTCCTAGTCTTCTTCCTTTCCCCTAGAAATCTGTGTCTGTACAGTTTATCGTTATCAGTTAAACAAGAAGGAATTATTGTTCTTAAAACAAGACTAGAATTTCTCAGCTGTATTTGAGATAACAGGGAGAGACTCCTTAATTTTTAAACCCAGACACACAGCACATTAATGTTTTCTTTATTTTTCTGTCAGTTTATGAATAAAATGTTCTTTTTTTTTTTTCCCTTCTCCATTCATCCCTGTGAATAGCTGTTGAACTGTATAATGGACATGGTGGAAAAAACTAGGCGATCTCTCACTGTACTACGGCGATGTCAGGAAGCAGACCGTGAGGAGCTCAATTACTGGATACGGCGGTACAGTGATGCAGAAGATTTAAAAAAAGGCAGTAACAGCAGCAGTAGTCATTCCAGACAGCAGAGTCCAGTGAATCCAGATCCAGTTACATTAGGTACAGTATCCTCATTAAAAATTCTTTACTGGTCCTCTTTCATCTCAGCTAAGTTCATATCTGTTCTTCTGATTCTTATTCCATGGTAGTGATGAAATATTCCCCTCCACTGACTACTGAGTTAACTATACCTCTTTTGCCCTAATAGTCTTGTTTACATGTGGAATGGCTTGGGTTTTTGGGTGGCGCTTGATAATTTGCTTTCCGTTCAGCAATGTCCAAGAGCAGTGGGGCAGGAGGAGGAATGCCATGTGGGGATGGCAGAGCAGTGAGATGTGCGCTGACCCTTCCATCTCCCTCACTTGCCTGCTTGACTGAGGAAATCTGTAGGTGCTTCTGGATTGTTAGCACTGTGAAGTCAAGGGCTTGCACCTTCTCCAATTAAATGACTTAACCTGGAAGTTGTCTTCCTAAAGAAATGAAATTCAAAGACATGGGTACCTCTCAGCTGTACTTTGTTTCCATACAAGAAAGAAACAACACCTGGGATGCCCGCAGCCGTGCAAAAATGATCCTCCTGGGTCTGTGTCCATCACTGCAGCTCACACAGGTGTGCCTGAGCTAGTTTGAGTACTGCTTGCTGTGTAATTACGTGGACCTGCTCAGAATTCAGCTCCAGTTGCAAAGCCAGATTACAAAGAGCAGACCAAGCAGTTGGACTTTGATCCCCTGCAGACCTTCACAGTCATGCTCACATGGTACTTCACACAACTATTCTAGCATAAAAACAAGCTTTTATTTTATGGGCTTTCTGTAATTTTTTAATATGTTCGCCTGCTTCTAGCCCATCCCCTCACTTTTATGGCAGACATAGTAAAGAAACGTATCTTGGTCTTGCCTTTTCATTGTTCTCTGCTCTTTTGAAGAGAACAGCAAGCTACAATTGCTTGTCTAATATTTATCTTTAGGAAAAAATAAATTGTCCATATTGAAAGATATCTAATCAAAATCAGTGTAAGTTGTGGTCACTAGTAGAATTCATGTGTGTTGTTATTTTGCTACTCTATTTTATTTAAATCTGTGTTTTTCTTTTGCCCTGCAGAATAACTTATTAGATCTAAAACTTATTTAATTGCAAATAGAAAAACAAATCTAATGCCATCTCCATCTTCCTCATGGTAAATCTCTGGAGTTATTACTGTAATATTTAGTGCCTCTTGATAATGAACAAACCTTTAGTGTGTGCGTGTGTGAAATGATCTGAGCCAATAGGTCTATAAATTAGCTTCAGTCAGTGAAAGGAAGAGTTATGGAAATGCTGTTCCCAACTTCACTAATAAGTCAAGTCCCTAGAGGAGTCCTTCTCAGAAAGAAGCATTCAGGTAATGGCTTGTACAAATAGTATTAAATGCAATGTAAAGAAAGACTCATAAATACAGCATCCGAAATGTCGATCACATCTGCAGCTTCGGGAAGAACACTTGTGAGGAAGCCCCTAGATCAAAAAGCAGTCAGACTCTTCTCTAGTAAAGCTATGATGCAAAAAGAGCCAGGCCGTGGTGCTTTTAAGTACAGTTAGTTGCCAAAAAAATGAAAATAAACTGACTTTTTTAATTTCCCCAAAGAAACTGGAACTCAAGACATTTATCAAAACTTTATAGATAATAGCACAATGCAGGAAAAATAGCACCACAACAGCCGCAACAAAAGATAAAACAAAAAGAAAACAGAACTAGAGCCATATATTATTAATTTTGTTTGTACATTTCTCAAGATGAATTACTGGAAACAGCAAAGCCTACTTAAAAAAAAAACATTATATGGCACAGCCTTTGGCCTTGAACACACCAGTCACCTCTGTAGTGCTATGGGTACAACTGAACTCATTGGAGTGAGTCCATTTGAATTTTAACATGTCCGTTTTGGTTATTTGTCTTTAAAAAACTACTTTCGAGACTCATGGACATGAAACTTGGATCACTTCAGTGATGTAGCATCCACAGCAACCATAAATATTGATAAGTGCTTTTATATCTGACATGTAGGATAGAAAATACTTGCTTCAGAATCTACAGAAAGGTAATACTTATATTTCTTCAAATCTGGTAGTAATCGTGTTAACAAAATGAAAACTAACATCCAGAGCTATATAATAAACTTGAAGCAGTTCCTGTGAGCCTTGAGACACTGTTACGTTTAGGGCTTTTTATTTTAGTTTGTAAGTGAGGAGAAAAGGGTTGAAAAAATTCCTCCAATATTTTAATTAAAGTGCCACAACATGTAAATACTGCTTTTTCCTGCAGGGTTTCTAAATGTCAGTGATTCCTGGTTTTACTTTTTTTGTTTGTTTTTTCAAAATGGGGCAATCCACCCTTTAAATCCACCTTGTCAGCTCCACTAGCAAGAGGGGGAAAAAAAAAAGTGGGGGCCATATGGCCACATTATCTGTGTCTTTGTTTCTTTTTCTTTACAATTAAAATATCATTGACAAAGTGATAAGTTTTTGCTATAAACATTATGCCTCAGTCTTCATAGATAGCTTTTGTTGAAAAACTCAAAGTTACAATTTAGCATAGATAATTTGAAAAAAATTCTGGTCATTATTTTGAACCGGTGGACCTTTTCTTCTGCCAAAGATTTTTGTGCTTCTTTTAATCTGACATCCCTGTAAATCACATTGAGCTTGACAGTTTGCATTATCTGATCAATATTTTTCTGTTGATACTTCTAGTTAAGAAATCAAATGAAATATTTGATCATTTGTTTTAATGCAGTGTAATCCAATACACACATTAGCCAGCTAGAGCAGATTACAAGCTCTCATTATTCTCTGAGGGTGTTGAAGGTAAGATGAGTCCATTCTTTTCAGTCTGAATAATACATGTTTATAAAAGTCTAAAAATGACTCAGACTTTATATATATTCTCTTGATGAACTGTGATGGTCTATGAAGTGAATAATACATCATCCAGCTCCTCCATTTCTGCTGAAGAATTTCAGTACTACATACTGCAGCGGGACTGCAACTTTCATCCTAATAGTGAATAATTACACACACCAGACATTGTATACTGAAATACACGCAGTTGGATAAATTAACGATGAGGGTTCTTCAATCTCGTGGGTTATAAACAAGATCTATAACCTTACTGAGTGCATCTGTGGCTCTAGATAAGTGGTGCAGGCACACATCAGAAGGTCTGCAGTGATGCTGCTGGTTTGTGTCTGTTTAATTTATCTGAATGGAAATCTTGCAAAATTGGGTTTGAAATCTCCAGCTGAAGAGTGCCAATACCTTCAGGATTTGCGCCGGGAACCCCGGATTCTCAAAAGTGTATGAATTTGTCAAAACCACATAGGTTAGCCATTTCTTAATAAACTTGTAAATGTTAACCCTTTCAGAGCTAGTCTGTATTTTATCACAGGCTGTTCACCATCATAATTTCAGTGTTAATCCCTGCCAATAAATGTCTACTCATGCTGCACTTGTGAAATCTTTCCTTTGCTATGTGCAGATAATCAGCATTGCTGTGATATGTGTGATATTCTCAACATGAGCTAACGGGGATGCTGTGAATGCCACAGTAACATTTATAACTTGTAATTCTCAAATGTAAAGCCTCTGTAATACCGGTCACTGATAATATTAAGTATTGCTCTTAATCCACTCACTGCACGGGAGGCTTGGGCTGGATTTTGGTGTACTGCATCACGTGCTGTTAGGTAGGGCTACAGGTGCAGAAACATTGTGTGTTTGTTTTCTGAGTATTTGGTTCCACCTTGATCTTGGTGGTGGGTGACTCAATAACACACTGCATGGGTGATTTTCCTTTTCTTAGACTTTTTAAATGAGAACACAACTATACTGGTAGCGCAGTTTCACGTGTGTTCAAGGAGTGTCGTAGTAGCCACAAAAAGATATTTAGGGCAAAGAAGGGCAAAGATAGATGTATATGAAATTCATGAAACTCATGCCCCCCAACAAGGTTAGCAATCACCTTTTTTCTTTCTATATATTTCATTATTGAAGTGGCATTCTTTAGAGCTTGACTTTTACAAGGAAGGCAGTGAATATTTGATATTTGTTGTTCTGAGAAGTTTTTTCTTTATTGTATGTGTCCCATCGATGGCATTACATTTATTATAATGTAGAATGAAGAAAAAACACCTGTGAAACATGAAAAACATATAAATACATATAAAAGCATACATATTTCATATATTAAATAATCTATAGTTCAGGGCTGGTTATACGCATATTTTATTGGTTTTGAGCCGTAATGTTCACTATGACATACAGGATATTGTTGTCATTGTCAGTATTTTCATAAATACAATAAATTCTAAAAGATCAAATCTTCATCTCTGTTTCTTAATATTTTGTTATTATAGGCTTGGATGTCATTGTCCAGTGATAAAAACCTCCATTCTTTTGTATTGTTAACCCATCTCCTGTTCCTTCTTTCCAAATATGGACTAGGCTTTTTGAAGGTTTCAAACCCATCTTTTCCTTTTAAGTCATTCTATTCAGTTTTGTTTGGTTTGGTCCTTATTCTCATGTGAGAGCTGGTATCCTTTGTTTGGTGTCCTAGCTTTTGTCTCGGTTCCACTTCCCAGACCTATATTTTCTTCTGCTCTTACAACTCTCCACATCTTTCTTTCTCGGTACTTTCAGCACCTATTTTTGGTATCTTAAAACCACCAAAAATAAGCAGACTGCTAAAATATTTCTACTCATTAAACTCCAGAAAGCTGGTTGATCAATAAACTATCGTTGATCCTTATGATTGAATGAGTTCTTGAAACATATACACCAGGGCCCATGTAGAACCCAGCACCAAATTGTGACAATAGGATTTCTTTAGTTGCATATTTTCTTTCTTTTTCTAAATGAAAGTATCCAGGATAGACTGAAAACAGTACTTTTCCTTTATATTTTTCTTATCTGCTCAACAGAATGTGAGGGCTGAAACCGAGACCAAATTTTGTGTCTTTTCTTCATGTGCCTCCTTACATCCCAGCCCAAAAACTTTCTTGCTGAAAAGTTTATTTCACATTAAAATAGAAAAATCCAGTTTTGATTTCCAAATCTATTTTATTTTTACATCAGTTAATCTCTTCACAGACAAGTGCTGATTGCTCTTATGTATATGTCCTTTTTATTTTCCTTGTTGGGCTTTTTCATCTGATTCAGTAAGAACTACACTGATTATCAACAAGTGCTTTCAAACCATATCTTGCTGTGAATTCCAAGTAAGTTCAGTAGTGTATATCACATGGTTCTGCATAATAACATTGTTACATTTTCACCATTAAGAAACTTTTGTATTATGTCTGACATGTAAAGCCTTTTCTGTTATCATTTTCTGTATGAGCTGCCTTGTTGCTTCAGATTATTTCTATTTTTTTTTTTTCTGATTTCAATCTATTTCCTTCTAGGCAGAATTTACTTTGATTTGTAGGTGCTGCAGTCAGTTAATAAAATGCTTTTTTCTCATTATGCTTTTTGCAGTTGGTTTTACAGTTAGTATTTTAGGGACTTCACTCAACTGCATTACTTTAAGTTCGAGATTCCTAGATGTCCAAGTTAAGATCTTTTGTGTTTATTAAGCAAATTCTGTGATTCTTAATCTGAAGGACACTTTATCTTAAAAATGAGAGTAACTAAAGACTTATATCATCTGGTTGTGTCCTCTAGTTTAGCCCAGAAAATAGGATTGTTTTCATGGACTCATCACCAGTGACTAAACAATAGCTGTGTTAATAATATTTTTCTTGCTCGGAAAATATGGTTTTTATTATATTCATAAGTGCTTCTTGTCTTTTCTTTGTGCGCCATTCCAAACTATGGGAAAGTCTCTCATAAGCTCTTGATTTAATTCTTCTTGCAGAGGATCTCATTCCTCGTGTAAATAATTTGTGGTTGGAATAAGAGCTTGATTGATGTTTATGTTTTGGAAATTTTAACAATTAACTGGCAATGTGGTCATTTATGTCATTGAATTCCATTTTTGGAAAGTCATGTGTACCAGAAAATCAGCTCCACATCTCTTTATTTTTAATACTAAGTATCACAGTGAAGAGCTTAAATCAAGGTTAGGATCCCTTGGCAGTGGATGGTACCTTAAACAGCAGAGTGGAAAGCTCAACGCAAAGTACAGGACATGAATGCAACAAACCCCTTGGTTTGCCACGTTTGGAATCTGGTTGGATTCTTTTCCTGCACGTATTGCAGGAAGAGCAAGTAAGTGTTTTAATTTTACCGCTTGAGTTTTCCTGAGCTTTCAAGCAATGTTTTCTGCTGCTGGCTCTTGTCCCCGACTGAACTGGCACTGTGCCCTTAACTCTAAAAGCCTCCAAGGGATGAGAGGAGTGTACACCATCATATTTGTCATCTTTAGAGTCATACGAGCCAAGAGGTACTGAGAATTTCCCCATTTTCAGCGTCAGGTCTGACGTCCTCTAGCAAGTCGATTTAAACCAATGTAAAGAGCTGTTTTGCAGAATCTTGCACACACGCACTCACAATCATTTTATGCTCAAGAGGCATGAAATTCGGCCTACAGAAATCCCTCTTACTTTCATCCCATACTTTAGTGACAAACAGAAGAGCTGGGGAAATCCACCCAGCTGCCTGTCAGATGGGAAGATTCAGTCCATCCCCTCAGTGCCTGCAAATTCATGTGCTAGAAACTGCATCTGTGGAACAGCGTGCAGGAATTGGGATTCCCTACTCAGTGCATAGCTGAAGCGCGTTTCCACCTTGGTATCTGTCTGCAATATTAAATGTCATCTATTTAAGCTTTGGAAGCCTACCAGATGCGTATATATACATAAAACAGTACTGCATGGTTAAAAAGCAGTTTGCAAAACCTAGCGATGCAATCTTTTTCTTAAAAATATTACTTTTTGGCCAAGTGAATAATAGCTTTAATATACAAAAATGAATGTATTTAGTAAAAATAAGTATTCAAAGAATGGCATGTGTTCTTTTGTTATGTTTCAAACAGGATGTTTAATTTCTAGCACCACCTCTAAAAAGATTCAAACATTAACGTAATAAATCAAGTTATTTTATTTTGATGATTGAATTCTGTCACACAGGAAGTAGTAATCATGGCAATGAACTTACCTTTATGTTGTGGATTTGGGTTTTTTGTTTAAATAAATCTCCCCTATCACTTTGAAAAATAGTTAATAAGTTTTTAAATTGTATTTGAAAAGAGCAGCTTTTCATCTGCTGAGAATCTGTATGCTAAATTTCAAGCCAAAGTGAATTTTCTTTCTGTATTGTCTGATCTTGCGTCTTTGAAGTCCGTGTGGAAGGGATCTTGCTGATTTCAGAGCTCTTAGGCTCAGGCCCAGAGGTTAAACCCTTTAAAAAAAGAGAAGGGAAGGGGGAAAGAGCTGTCAAAATGTGATTGAAATATATGGGTGAATTATGAGCTTCAGCTCCAGTGAAGTTGTTTGGCAGCATATGTATTTAGGGGCTTAACCTAAAGTTAAAGGTTCTGTTTTTCAAACTTGTGCAGCTACAGTTGTCAGTGTGGGCTCAGATATAGGAAAGCGTAGCTCTGAACATAAAGAAACACCCCTTTCTTTTTGTGAGGACAGCTTATTTGATCACTGGAATGACATCTTGGCTTTCATCTCCACTCATCGGTAGCTGTTCTGTTTTCACAGAGCAGAAGTGCCAAGCTGGACTGTTGCCCTCTTTCTTCTTCTTTCTTCTGCCCTCTTTTCATAAACATAATGACAAAGGATGAAGCACATCGCTCCCTCAGTTGGTCTCGCAAAGCCAGCCTTGAAAGCGTGGAAACTGTCATATCTAGTTGACTTGAAATACTATAGAATAAAAATAAAGCAAACGAGTCTCAGCTTGGCTGAAGATGAGACATTTGAGTCCTAAATGTTGGTATGGTCTATGTGACATTCGTGAGCTACGGCCAAGGTTTTATTTTGAGTAAAGGAAAACTTCACATCTTTTTTTTTTTTTTTGTCTGAATGATAAACAAAGGGAATAGGTAGTTTTCTAAACCTAGTTCTCAACAAGTAAGCATTGCTTATGATGCTCTTTCTTTTTCCCTCCACACCCCCTCCTCCTGCAGAATCGCATCGGGAATTCCTTCACAGGCCTACGTCTGGATACGTGCCAGAGGAGATCTGGAAGAAAGCTGGTAAGAACTGTTTAAAAACACCAACTTAGTCTTCTGGCAGCTGTGTGCAGTTGTTAATGCACTGATGTGCGGAATGGAAAAAAAAAAAAGGCTTACTAGTAACAAGAAAAAATTGTGTTTAATAATCTTAAACTGGAACTGATCTTTATAATAGAAGCATCTGCTGCTATAGTTAGGGGGATATCAGTACTTCCATTAAGGACTTCCATTTTCAGGGATTTTAATGGTTTCAAGCTGAAACTTGATATCCTAAAGTTTCAGTCTGTTAGCAATTTAAAGAAAAACCAAACAGTTTGTTTGGGATTTTTTTAAAGCTTCAAGGTTCTTATCTAGTTAAGAATTTGCAAAGGAGGGGGAAAAAAACTAAGAATACCTGTTAAAGAAAAGCCTTTGATTATGCAATGTAACCATTCTTGATTTTAAGGAGATTTTGTGCCTGTCAGCCCCCAGTGAAGGCTGTGCTTGGAAACCTGGGAGGTTCTCAGTGAAGTAAATGGGATCACATCTCGGCAGCTGCTCTGAGCAGGGCATTGACATGGGCATTGCCACTGTCTTCACTGAGCTTGGAAAGACGCGTGGGCAGACACTGTGGTTGTGCAGAGTTCTTCTCAGCACTTCAACACTTGCCTGAGCACAGGAGTTTCCTAGCCGGGATTCTATTTGTGGTGCTAGAGTGAAACCTTTGCTCTTTTGACACTGATATTAGAGTTTCCTTGTTTTCAGAGGGGCCAGGAGGTAGCTCTTGAACTCCAGTGAGGTAGCTGAGCTTCTATATATATACACTTACACCCCCATCCCTCTTTTTGAACACCTGTATAACCATGAAGTCTATAGCAGCTGTCTGAGCAGAAGTTAATGATTAAATGGCAAATATGCAGCAGTTTCAGTGCTTTCTGGTCAGATCTGCTGTACCTCCTTGCTGCTTTTTGGTGTGTTTTAATTAGACCAGATACATGAAAAGTGTTATGCTGGCATATTGTTGCATCAGACAAGAATTTGTGGGTTTTGTGTGATGTGGGTTCATCATGTAAAGTCTACATTTGTCAACATGGTAATTAATATTTTTGGAACTACAGGTTTTTCTAGGAAAGATAATAAAGCAATTTAAATATTTTTCTTTTGTCCAAGGAAAGTGTAATCTGTGTAACTCAATGTCCCAAAGTATTTTTATAGTTTGCTTTGCCATAGCTATGTTAACATCCTCAATGAAAAATAAGGAAAAAACCACAATTCAGACTCAGGAAATCTCGGTAAGAAGTTCATTCTTCAGCTGAATTTCAGGAACTTTATTTGGCATATCAGATCACTTAGAACTCCTAGATACAGTACAATAAAATCACAGAATGGTATGAATTGGAAATGACGTTAAAGATCATCTATTTCCAACCCTCTGGTATTGGCAGGGACACTTCCCACTAGACCAAGTTGCTGAAGGCCTCATCCAGCCTGGCCTTGAACACTTACAAGGATGGGGCATCCACAACTTTCCTGAGCAACATGTTCCAGTGTCTTAAGCTAGCAATACAAGTTAATTGAAGCTTTTGTCTTGAGTTATAAAATTGGATATGCATTCACATTGTGCATATTCACAAATGGTAGCATACAGGAACTATGACACGTCTTGTGAACACGTTCTTGTGAACATATATGTCATCAGTTCCTTTAAAACAAATTTTTCCTTTGGTCTCACTCCCAATCTCTATTTTCATGCTAAGGTGGGTTTAAATTAGATTCCTTGTATTAACTGAACATGTGTGTGAATTGGAGAATAAAAAGAGTCTGACACTCTACAGGATGCATGCCTGTATCTGTTTCTAAGAGTAGTAGAACATCAAAAAGCCTTCTGCTTTTCATAAATCACAGGCCTTCATTTTCAGGAGGGTATGCTGAAGTTGAGGGTCTCCACAATTTTATAATCAGTTCAAGGCAGTTAAGGTGTGATTCAGCTGCGTAAGAACTCATCTTGAGTGCCATTTGAGATACTCTGTAGTATCCTGGCTCAGCTGCAACTGCCAGTCAAGAGGGCTGCAAATCTCACAAGTCATTTCTGCTGGTATCTCAAATGTCTGTGAATACCAATGTGTAGACAGCTGAATCAAGTATAAAAGTCTGATTGGTATGCTTAATCCATTAAGCTGAAAGAATTTGGCATAAAAACAGTTAAGAAGCAACCTCAAAACCATATGAAAAAGAGATTCACTTTAAACTCTTTGGAGACTGATAGTCTCCAGCAGAATTCTTGAAATATATCAAGTATGTGCTTTTGCAATCTTTGGAGCAAACACATTGTACGCAGCACTTTGTGAATTAAAGCCATTGTGAGCCCAATTCAGTTTCATACTGAATGGAGTCATTAGTACCCTGATTTGCCTCACTGAATTAAATACATGAAGAGTCCAAGCCAAGTTCTTGATATCCCTCAGTAGTCAAGAGAGAAACAGGTAAGTGAAGAGGATCAATCATAGACTGGATCACTTGCTCTCTGGAAATACCTATTTCTCTTTATCAAATACTGAGGGAGTTTCAGGCCCACTGTGGCTGCTGCCTTAGCTTCTTTTTGTGTCAAGACAAAACGGTCTTCTAGCCATCCCCTATCACTTAGCAAGGCCTACTGTTCATGGCAGTTCAGATGGAAACTCTGGAGTTACGGAGCAGGTGTGGAATGACTATACTTTGTCTTACAAAGACAATAATGCCCCTGCACGTTCTCCGGGGTAGTAGAGATGGTGCATTTTGGGGTATGAAGTTGAAATAACTCAGGTTGCCAACGGCCTTCTTTGCCAGGTTCAACGTGAGAGCAAGATAATGCGAAACATAATGGTAGTACAGGATTTCACCCCTGGCCACCACCTTTCTTTTCTCGTCATGTGGACCGAGTGTGCCCATGATGTGAGGGAGGTGACCAGGAGCTGGCTGGTGAATCACAATCTAGGGTTATATACAGCAGGGAATGATGAGTTGAGTATCTCTCCTGAGTCAGCCCCAAGGACCTCTGATCCTGCTGAGCAACACTTATTCATAGAATCATAGAATCATTTAAGCTGGAAAAGATATTTGAGATCATCAAGTCCAACCGTTACCCAGACAGGCTGTTTGTTCCCTGAAGCTTCTTTCATGAGTTAGTGCTCCTCAAAGGGGAGGAAGATTTCAGTTGCGTTCCTAAAATGACAGGGTGAATTTATGGCAGGGGGGG